CCACAGTGCAGGGGTGTAAAAGGGACTGCTGCTGCCACAGTGCAGGGGTGTAAAAGGGACTGCTGCTGCCACAGTGCAGGGGTGTAAAAGGGACTGCTGCCACCACAGTGCAGGGGTGTAAAAGGGACTTCTGCCACCACAGTGCAGGGGTGTAAAAGGGACTGCTGCCACACTGCAGGGCTGTAGAGGGGAGCTCTGGCTTGGAAGAGAAGGAATTCAGGGCCTAGGGCAAGAGGCTGTGTGTCATTTCTTTTAATAGCAGTGGGGCTGGGGATGTTGGTAGAGATCTAGGTGGTGCTTGATGATCTTTGTCACAAGAAGGGCAAAGTTGTGAATACTCACAGAGATCTGCTCTGTGAAGGGCTGCAGTACCCCTGCTAGTAACAACATACAGGGAGTTGTTTTGTTTCTTTTTAATCACTTCAAGCACAGGCACCTCTTCTGGAAATCTCAGGAGGAATCACTAAAGATTTCATGGACACACAGGCCGGGCCATGCTCTGTGACGACTCCTTGTCAGAGCTGGGGTACCCTGACAGGAGGATGTCAGGAAGCTTCTGCTGTTACTGGGAATGGTGTTCCTGTTCTTCAGAGAGGCATCCAGGTTGAAAATGCCAACCCTTTCATGTGTTCTTGGCCATGCAAAAAAAAAAAAACCAAAACATCTTTATAGAGTGCTGGTCATTTTACAGATTAAGAACTGAATTCAAATGCTTATGATAGTGGGATTAGTCAGCGTTCAGGTAATGTTCTGTCCTTCATTTCCCCCAGTTTCTTGTGACCAAGGCTACTGAGACCATGTGACCTGTGGGCTTCCCTTTGTCATCCTATGCCTGGAGATCACAGTGAGGCAGGGACAGCAAAGGGATGCTCAGCTGTCGTCTCTTCCACCGCCAGCCATTTCAGCCTCACGATAAAAACACTCGTTTCGTGTTTCCTATCTTAGGAGTAAGCCTAGGTATGTGTCACCTTACTGACGACTTCCCATAGGTAACCAAGGAAGAGTTCAAGCTTCAAAGACAGTAGCTGGGAGCCATCCAAGTCACTGGCTAATGAAGCAATAGAACATCATGTTATAGCTGCTTTGTCTGTACCTGGTGTCTGTTGAAAGAGGTGTCAAACAATTCATCGACAGTGACTGAATAACTTATCAGTATGGAGCTGATGCAAAAGCAAGGGAAGAGAAGCATCTTGCTCTTTTCCTTTTGTGGCCATGAAACAGCATATGGATGTTTTTCCTCATATTGGCCATGAAATGGCCATCATTTTTCCTGATGGCTCTGGTTTGAAGTGATGCTCTAACCCAGGAATCTCATCCACTCCTCATGTCTCGACCTCTTAAACTAAGTTGCAATGACACTTCTATTTTTTGTGGTTTTTTGTTCTTCTGTTTTTTGCAGGTCTGGGGCAAGGTGTTCCTGTAGTTGGGCTCATAGTGGAAGGGGGTCCCAACGTGATCTCCATCGTGTTGGAGTGCCTGCGGGAGGAGCCCCCCCTGCCCGTGGTGATCTGTGACGGCAGCGGGAGAGCCTCTGACATCCTGTCCTTTGCACACAAGTACTCAGAGGAAGGAGGGTAAGGTTTGAGATCTTCGCTGGAGCTGTGTCTTGCTCAGGAGGGCACTGTAGGACTACATGCCTTGCTTTCACTGAGGTTCCATAAAAACTCAACCTGAAGGGCTTTCAGGGAAGGGCATTCTGCTGCCTGTTTGATCTGAGCCCTGGAGTTAATGAGGAGAAATTGGGAGGTATTTGATGGTCCTTTGCAGTGAGCTTGCTCTCAGTGCAGTGCACTGTCCTACAGGCTCCAGCAGTGTTTGCTGTGCTGTGCTTGGTGCTGGATTGGGGTGTCAGAAGCAAGGAACAAGTGGAATAACTCTTTTCCTCAGGCCAGGGTTGGGGTTAATTAGAGCAGGTGTTTGCAAAATTTGTACTGCCTGATTCCAGTGCATAGTGGGAATGAGCTTCGTTCTCCAAGAGTGCCAGACCAGCTGTAAAAATGTTGGACTCCCTTTGTTCTCTTGCTGCTCTTTCAGGGAGACAAGCAGTGTAGTAAAGGAGTGCAGATGTTACTTGCTGAATTGGGAGAGCATCTCTGATACTGGATTTTTTTGGTGTTTAGACACAGTACATATTTAATCCTACCAGGAAGTATTTAAGATTCAGCAACTTTCTTTTCTTTTCTGCCAACCAAGCCTTCCTTAGCTTAGATCAAACTTTCTGGATTTTCTTATTTTCTTTCTCATTCGTCCTTCCTATCAGCTCATGGGTAATTGGGAGAGCTTATCAGCATCAGTGTGTCTGAGATGTGCTCACTGCATGACTTTTTCTTCCAATTTTCTTCTCCAATAATTATAAGATAAATGTGTTCATCTAGTAAGGCATCTACAATGAGATTTTTTTGTCAGTCCAATCATTTTCTCACAATGAACTTTGAATTCTACTGTATCTCTCGGCACCTGCTGGCAATATTTTTCTATCATCTGGAAATACATGTGTTTCATTAGGAAATGCATGAAGATTGAAGGGCTCTGGTTCGTATTGCTCCGAGAGATCAAACATTTCTGACCTTTCTAGAGTGCCTTCAATCTAATTTCTTTAATCATTTTTCGGCTTGTTTGTTTCTGGGGTATTATGAGGTTTTGGATACACCAGCAATTTCAATCCTCTAAGAGGATAACCAGCATACCCAAGGTGACATATCAGAAGCACAAAATACTTGGGGATTTTCATCTGCAAATGCCTTGCAACATTTAGCAGCAAAGGTAGGGGTCCTGCAAGTCATAGTGCTCACTTATATCCATAATATACAACAAGAGTAAGAGCTACCTGCATTTGATTCCAGGGTGAAAGGATAGTTCAAGTTCTGTGTCAGGTTTTAAATCAGTGCTGAAGTACTGAGATGCATAAAAGCCAGTTTGGGTATGAATTTCCTGGTTACAGTAAATTCCTTACCTGTACTGCATGCAAGGATGCTGCATGTTTTCATTTCTTTTCAAAATGAAGCCGTTGCTCTAGCAGATGAAAATTTGTTCCTCAAACAGCAGGCCTTCTGAATATATATTCATTTTGACAGTGTCTTCTTTTATGTCTCATTTTTCTTTTAGGATAATAAATGAATCCCTTAGGGACCAGCTTCTAGTTACCATCCAGAAAACCTTTAACTACAACAGGAATCAAGCTCATCAGCTGTTCATCATTCTTATGGAGTGCATGAAAAAAAAAGAACTTGTAAGTGTCCTAAAGGGAGTTCACAAAGATCACTTCTGTGACCAAGTTTACAGAGTACTTTCAAGTGCCATTTTCCCAGGGTCAGAGTTTCAACTCTTTTTTCCCATATAGCTCCATTAATTTCACAGTCTTTCATTCATAAGCATAGGCCAAGGAAAGAATTCTGTCTTCTAAAAAGTCTCAAAACCAAATTCAGATCCTTCTCCTGTGTAAGTTGATAGAAATCTTTTTTCACAGACTTGAGGAAGGCAGACTAAGACACTGAGATAAACACACTAATCCCAGGATCAGCTGCTCCTGTGCAGAAAGGAAAGGAAATATGGTTGAAGAAAGGGTTCCTGGGGGCAGGAAGCATTCAGAGTGCATGAACACAGTTGGGGTTTCTGACACAGTTGCTCTTTAACAGCCTTTCCTTGCTGTAAAATGGCCTTTGCAGGCCTTTCCAAAGAAACTGAAGCATTAAGGATTGCTGAATATCCCACCCTCTCCTGCTCCTGGTTTGTCCAGGTCTGCTCTGTGTGCAGCACCTCTCACCCAGGTCCTGCCTGGCTCCCCCAGCGCAGCTGCAGAGAAAAGGGTGCTCAGGGAGAGAAAAGCTGGGCTCTGGAAACAGTGCACTGAAACTGTGCTCACTGGGACTTTGCAGGCAAAATCAACCTCTGAGTGTTTTCCTTTGACTAAGTGCTTCAGATAAATTTTGTCAATATGATGCCAAGGTTAGTTCCATTCACACACCCTCACTGGAAGTGGAGTTGGTAAAAAGCATGACCAATAAACTGACTGGAAGAATTGGCTGAGAAAAGAGAGCCCACAACTGCTTTAGTCAAAATATTTTGAGTTTTCAGTGCCCATCAGAGCAGGCCTGGTTTACACAGCAAAATTCAGACACTGGTTGTGCAACCTAAGCAGACTTAGAGTTTGTTTGTTGATAGTTTTGTTTACCTTCTTATTAATTAATAAAAGTTTTCCTGTAGTTCTTCTCTCTTCTAATGTCATGTATCTTTGCATTCATGTGAAGTCTATTCTAACTGTTGAGAAAATTGCTATTCCCAGTAGTAATGCTAGAAGCTGCTGTGGAGAATTGTTTTTGGAAAGTAAAGAATTTGGGGTGTTTTTCTGCATGTGGTATTAACTTATTAGGATGGAATATTGGGTTATTCTGCTTTTGAATTACCAATCTTTTAATATGTAGTTCAGTGGCTAACCTTGAGCGAATTGCTATTTTTAAAATCAGTGAATTGTAGTGGACTGAACTAAGCAAATATGACTAGAAATAATTGCCTTTCTTTGTTATTTGGTTCTGCCTTTTTGATTGTCATATGCAACATATCCTGCAGCTAGAAAAAGTTTGAGTGTTATTGTCAATGAAACGGATGCTGTGATACTTACCTCGGGTAACTAGCATTTCCATTTCCAAACTGGCATTTCCATTACTGCTGGAAAGTAATGAAACTGTCAGAAAACAGTCAGTTTTGCGTGGCAGTTTTGCCACCATTTTTCAGAATTCGTGGGTGTGGTGAAGATTTTCGTCACTTTTGTCATGTTTAGCAATGCAGGGATATTTCAGGATAACTTCATTGAAAGAATTTTATGAAACACTTTCATGAAAGTGAAATTGCTTTGTTCCCTGCTGCACATTCAGTCTCTGCTGTGCTGTAACTGTTGGTTGGTCTGTGCTGCCCTTTAGATCACCGTGTTCCGCATGGGCTCCGAGGGCCAGCAGGACATTGAGATGTCCATCCTCACTGCTCTCCTCAAAGGTGGGTCCTGCAGGACTAGGCAAGGATGCACATTTTATGCTCATTTTATTGCAGCTGGAGCATCCATTAACACAGGCAGAAGGAAAGGGGGGAAGAGAAAAGGCTGTCTGGATTTTTCCAGGTCTCAGAGTGTGATATATAAACCTTAGTGCAATAGGGTCAGTTCTGTATTTATTTGGAGTTTTTACATTTGCAGGTATGTAGTCACTGACACATGCTCAGTATGGGATCCCTGGAGTCCCCAAAGCAAAGAAATAGAGGAATTGTTGCACTCTAATTTACAACATCGACTAGAGGACTTGAGAGGGGTCTGTCAGAAGAGTTAAATATCTGTCTTCAGTGTCAAAGTCAGTGGGGGACCTTTTTGAAAAAAGGGAGACAATCTGTTTAATCCTTTGGAAATTAGGATTATGGGGTTACATGGAAGATGGTAAAATCAATTTGATGAATCCACTACTTTGTGTTAGAATTATTGTAATGGTAGTATGATACAGAGTCAGGCTGGCTGTTTTCCAGTTCCTGGAGAAGTCAATTACAGAAGGTTGTCTAATCTTGTTCCATCATGTATGAAATACCAAATATCTGTTGTGTTTCCCTGTAGGTACCAATGCATCTGCTCCAGACCAGCTCAGCTTGGCTTTGGCCTGGAATCGTGTGGACATTGCACGCAGCCAGATCTTTGTCTTTGGACACCACTGGCCAGTAAGACAAAGTTTTCTTAATCATATTGTTTGTCAGAAGCTTAAAGTAAATTTAAATTAAGTTGTGTAATATTCATACTTCGGATTTTCAATATTGAATTCTGGCTTAAGCCATTAATTGATTAGGAATGTCATATTTGTTTTGAAAGTTTTTATACTGGCATTTGCAGATATTTAGCAGTAATTTAATCTCTGTGAAAGAAAGAAAAGCAATTTCATGACAAGCAGAAAAATAACCTGGAGAGTTGGGCAGGGACAAAGCTGATGAAGTTCAACAAAGGCAAGTGTAGGGCCGTGCACCTGAGGAGGGATAACCCCAGGTACCAGTGCACACAATTAAATTTAAACAAATGTTGCTGCATGTGCAGTTTTATTTCTTCCCTTCTAGTAATGTGATGTTTCCAGTATTCAAGATTCATTAAAATGCTTATGGAGAGGATTTAATAATCCTAAAGATTATGAAATATTATTACGATAAAATGTTTAATTGGGTGGAATGTTCCAACCTCCAT